AAAACAATGGATTGTTTACCGAAGGAAGCCTGACCAACGACCTGGCATACGGGTATAACCGCGCCAAACTTGCCTGGTACAATATTGAACCCAATTTACAGGATGCCAAAGGCACCAACAACCCGGTAAAAGGCTACCAGGATTTTACTGACCCGCGCATACGTGCCGTTAACCAGCAGGAAATTTACCCTACAAAGTCTATCGATTACGGGCAGGCGCAGTTGGTAACTTTTGACCTGGCTTTCTACCCGCAGGAAAGAGGCCCCTATAATTTTGACGCAAGGGCGGGCAGTGTTAACGCAGCTAACGGCAAGCTGCAAAATCCTAAAAACCGCTGGGGCGGTATCATGCGTGCCATTGACCAGACCGATTTTGAAACCAGCAACGTGGAATACATAGAGTTCTGGATGCAGGATCCCTTCCTGCTGAAACCTTCCAGTACCGGTGGCCAGTTTTACATTAACCTGGGTAATATTTCTGAAGATGTGCTGCGCGATGGCAGAAGACAATTTGAAAACGGTTTACCTGGCGCCGATGGCAAAGCCGCCGTAGACAACAGCTCCGTATGGGGTAATACACCCGCTAACCCCATACAGGTAACAACGGCGTTCAGCAACGATCCTTTAGACAGGCCTTTCCAGGACGTAGGACTGGATGGCCTGGGCGATGATGCAGAAAAAGCAAAATTCAATGCCTACCTCACCCAGATCGGAAATATTTTTGGTGTAGGTTCTCCCGTTTACCAGCAAGCCCTGGCAGATCCGTCCAGCGATGATTTTAAGAATTACCGCGATGCCAGCTACGATGCAGCACAGGCAAATATCCTTGCGCGTTATAAAAACATCAATAGCCCGCAGGGCAACTCTCCTATAGCAGACGCCAACTCTACACTCACTACGGCGTTTACATTGTATCCTGACCAGGAAGATCTGAACCGGGACAATACACTGAATGAACTGGAAGAATACTTTCAATATAAAATAAACCTGGTGCCCGGCCAGTTTACCGTAGGGCAGAATTATATTACCGACAAGCGCTCATTCACGCCCAATATTCCCAATGGCAAACCGGAGAACTGGTACCTGTTCCGCGTACCGGTGTCTGATGGCCAGAAAATCGGCAATATCCCCGATTTTAAATCCATCCGCTTTATACGCATGTTTTTAACGGGTTTTGAAGACTCACTGGTGTGCCGCTTTGCCAAATTTGAACTGGTGCGCAACCAGTGGAGGAATTTTACTTTCAAAGTAGATACTACCGGTAACTATGCCACCGTGCCCCCCAATTCAGGCACAGAGTTTAATGTGCTGGCCGTAAATATTGAAGAGAACAGCAAACGCACCCCCATACCTTATGTTACCCCCCCCGGTATTGAACGCCAGCAATTGCTCAGCAATAACAATGTAAACCTGTTCCAGAATGAACAGAGTATGAGTATGCAGATTTGTAACCTGCAAAAAGATGATGCAAGAGGTGTATTCAAAACATTCAACCTGGATCTGCGCCAGTATGGTACGCTGTCCATGTTTATACACGCAGAAGGCCGCGGGGCTATTGATCCGCTGCAGGCAGGCTCACTGGAAGCCATCATCAGACTGGGCAACGACTTTGTAAGCAACTACTACGAGATTAAAATACCGCTAACCAAAACGCCGTATAATACCAGCGACCCTGCAAAAATATGGCCCTCAGAAAATGAACTAGCGCTTAGCCTTCAGCGCTTAATACAATTAAAGATCAAACGTAATAATAACTCACAACCCAATGTTTATTACCGGGAGCGAGATGCCGATGGAAAAGTGTATGCCATATTGGGCAACCCCAACCTGGGAGAAGTAAGAGGCATGTTCCTGGGTATTCATAATATTGGCCAGGAAACAATTTGTACTGAAGCATGGTTCAATGAACTGCGCCTGAGTGACCTGAACGAAAAAGGTGGGTGGGCTGCCCTGGGCCGTGTTGATATGAAACTGGCCGATTTGGGCACCATAACATTTTCCGGCAGTTATAAGGGCATTGGCTTTGGCAATCTTGACCAGCGGGTGAACGAGCGTGCCAAGGATAATCTATCGCAGTTTGATGTAGCCACGAATCTTGAACTGGGCAAATTCCTGCCACAGAAATCCGGCATCTCTATACCCATGTATGCCAGTTATTCACAAACGCTCAGCACACCTCAATTTGATCCTTATGATCTTGATATTAAACTCAAAGACAAACTAAATGCAGCCGGAGCAAAGAAAGACTCCATAAAAAGCGACGCGGTAGACATGACTACCATCCGTACCATTAATTTTACCAATGTAAAAAAGAACAATACCACCGGCAAAAAACAAAAACCCTGGAGTGTAGAAAACCTGGATGTGAGTTATTCCTATACCCGCCAGGAACACCACAATCCGTTAATTGAAAGCGACCAGGTAATCGTGCACCATGGTGGCCTTGGATACAATTATACCACCAACCCGAAATATATAGAGCCCTTCAAAAATTTCATCCGGTCGAAAAATCCCTGGTTTAAATTTTTAAAGGAATTCAATTTCAGTCCGATGCCTTCGGTCCTCACTTTCCGTGGCGATGCCAAGCGCCAGTTTGGTGCGTTCAGACCGCGCAATGTGGGTGGCCCCAAAAATGTATTGCCGGAAACCTATAACAAATATTTTACGTTCGACAGGTATTATACCCTGCGCTGGGATTTTACCAGGTCGCTTAACCTTGATTTTACTGCCACCAATTTCTCCCGCGTAGATGAAGCGCCCGGGCGCCTCAGCAGCTATGAGAAAAAAAGGATGTGGAACAACTTCTTTAATGGCGGCAGAAATGTTTCTTACCAGCAGCAGGCCACTTTCAGTTACGTACTGCCCACCAATAAACTGCCATTGCTGGATTGGACTACCATGCGTGTAGGCTATGTTGCCAAATATGGCTGGTTGGCATCTTCGCTGGATTCTGTGGCCAGGAGCCTTGGCAATTTCTTAAATAATTCGCAGGATAAAAATGCCACTGCTGAACTTGATTTTACCAGGCTTTACCAGAAAAGCCGCTTCTTAAGAGCGCTTGATTGGGATGCCCCCAAAGCAGCCCCTGTACCAGCAGTACCAGCTGCTAAAAACGCCGCAGACTCTACCAATAAAAAAGGTAAAAAAATTAAAGAGAAAAAGATAAAAGACCCCAATGCATTGCCAGAGCTGAACATTGCAGTGAAAGTGCTGGGCCGCCTGCTCACCTCAGTAAAGCGAATGAGTATTGCCTATAATTCTACCGGTACCACCAACCTGGCCGGCTATACAGACAGTACCAAAATACTGGGTATGAACTGGAAGACCATGGCGCCGGGTTTTGATTTTGTAATGGGCCG